ATGTACCTGATGTCCGTGCACAATTGTTTTAGGAATTGAAAAAATGTGGTCCTTTATGTCTTTTATGATTGAGGATTTCAATTGAAACTGGGTTTAGCATGCATTAAGGTTTTAGGTCTGCAAATGTTAGGTTGCAATTAATCACGTTTTTGCACGGCTCGTATTAATTATTTCTGAATCTTTATGTAGTAACTCTAGTGCTTGGATTTTCTTTTACTTGATTAGTAGTACTGAAATGAAATGATTTGCTGTTGGCCTTCTCGGCTCTTATTAGAATTTATTTATTATTTGTCTGAACTTTTCATCCAACGATATAAACAACTATGATTACCAAAAAAAAAAGTTCAATGATAATAATAATTATTATTGATCGAATTTCTCTGGAATTCGGGCACTTGTCCTCCATTCCAATATATTACTCTGCTTGTTTCAGTAGTAATGGTGCTAGAATGAGCTGGACTACTAAAGAAAAAGAAACATAATAGATAAAAATTCATAGAAAAAGAAGAGATCTTGGTTTCTGTTTTAATTTGTTTGAATCTGTGAATCCATAAATCGTTCTTGACTTCGGTGCTGGAAACTAACATAGCCGGATGTTTAGCTTCCTTTGTTCTACCATTTATTGTAATTTTGGAATACTTTCACCACAATTAGATGGATTCTTATATCATTACGTTAACAATTTTCTTCTGTATGCCTTAATTCTTTTCATTCTTCTGTTTTTTTTGGCTTCTGGATCCATCGCTTTCATATTGTTAGGTGTTTGTCAAGTGGATAGCATTAAAGGGTACACAAGCCTCTTATGGGTGGCTCAGATGATAGTGTTGCCATGATGGGAGATAGTTTCCCGCTCGACTCTCTTCCAAGAACACTCTTTTCATCAATGACGAATGACAAATTAGAATCACAGTCAGGCTTCAATTGTGAAAATCAATTCGCTCCCCCTTTTCCAGCTCAGCCTGGCGTGGAGGTTAGTAAAAATGATGCTAGCAACTCAAATGCACTGCCTGCAGCAAAACCGAGCTCTGTGGGAGGTCTTGCAGAGAGGATGGCAGCTCGAGCTGGTTTTAGTGCCCCACCAAGACTGAATACGGAAGCCATTAAACCACCGAAGCTCCAGTCTCCTTATTTGACTATTCCTTCTGGGCTTAGCCCAACCTCTCTGCTTGAGTCTCCCGTTTTTCTCTCTAATTCAATGGTGAGCTCTCTTTGGCAAGCTTGGGTGTTTACTTGATTTGTGTATTTTTATCTGCTGGTGGTCTCCTAATCTGTTGATTGTTGGTGGCCATTTGTCTCCTGTATCTTGTACTGAAACATAATGGTTATTGGTTGAAATGACTTAGCATTGTTTTCTGGTTTTGGTTGATTGAAAAGTTTAGTTGGTTTTGTAGACATTTCCTATTTGGCCTCGGTGCTTCAACTTTCTTTTAAAGTTTGGCTTCTTATGTTCCCACTTATTTTGGCCCTGTACAATTTGATTGAACTCCAATTAGCGTACTATGTTCTGGTTGGAAGTTTAAGTGATATTTGGCCTAATTTTTTAAGGAATGACCAGCAGTAATTTTCTCTTATATGCTATCTAGTTCCTTTTATTTTTATTACAAATTCTATTTGTCCTCCTGCTTAAACAAAAAGCCACCAAGCTTTGATGGCATTGTCTGTTAAAAAAAGTTGTATTGTTTTCTCTACAGGTTCAGCCATCTCCTACAACTGGAAAATTTCAGTTCGTCTCGAGCAGAAACAATCAGGACTCAACTCTAACAGCAGATAATCATAATAACGTCAAGGAGAACACTTTTGGAGACCCGTCATTCGCCTTTAAACCCATTTTTGAATCTGCTCCATTCACTTATCTCGACGCAGAAAATAAAGTAATTTATATTAATTTATGCAGAATCTGTCTCTCCCATTGTGACATTACATTCATGAAAAAGGAAAAAAAAAAGTCTGTAGGAACTTTACGATTCACTTAACTCATTTTCTGTCACTTCATTCTTCAATTGACCGAGTATTTATTCTGTTCAAATTTTGCTTCAGTTGTTCTCTACTGCTGATGAGAGTCAAATGATAGAAGACCCTCTTAATTCTCAACCGAACAAGAACGGCCTTCTTTTCAATCAGTCAAATTTCTCAAATCCAGATAATATCGACTGTCCTATTTATCTACCCGATAATTCTTCTCCACCACCCGATGAACACGAAAATGTGGATCAAAGAACCAGTGAGGACCCCACTTCAAGCGAGGACGGTTACAGCTGGCGAAAATACGGGCAGAAGCACGTGAAAGGAAGCGAATACCCCCGAAGCTACTACAAGTGCACACACCAAAACTGCCAGGTAAAGAAGAAAGTCGAGCGGTCCCACGAGGGCCACGTCACCGAGATTATCTATAAAGGGGCCCACAATCATCCGAAACCTCCGCCAGCTCGCCGCTCAGGACTTGGCTCAAATGGTGATCCCGTTTGGTCTGCGATGGAAAGGGCGAATTTTGCGGGAATCCCTGAATGGAAACCGAACAACCTCGAGCAGACATCCTCTTTGCAGTTGGGATGGGAGTATAATAGCAATCTGGCCCAAGGAGGAGCCCAATGCGAGTTAACAGAAGGCGTAGAGGACTCGTCGACTTTATCGAATAAGGAGGAAAGTGATGGAGTGACGCACGGGAGTGTATCGGTCGGGAATGATGGCGAATTAGATGAGTCTGAATCTAAGAGAAGGTTGTTTTGCCTT